TCCATGTCGTCCCATGATGTCTTCATATCCAGTGTTGTCCCTGCCAACCTTGGCATTGAGATCTCCCATAAGAATCGTCAAATGCTTTGTTGAACATTTTTCGACGATTTACTGCTGCCTTTTGTGAAATTGATCTTTAACGTCGTCATTGTAGTCATTGTTAGGTGCATAACATTGGATGACGTTCATTGTAATGTCCTCTTTCTTCGTTTTGAAGGATGCTTTGATGATCCTAAGTCCATGAGATTCCCATCCTATCAGTGCCTTTTGAGCATGCTTAAACAGCATCAGTGCAACTCCTTGTGTATGTGAAGCATTTTCCTTTTCATGACCAGAGTAAAACAGCAGTTCCTCTGGAGCAAGTTTCAGTAGTCCTACTTGTGTTCAATGCGTTTCAATGATGCCGAACACCTCGAGGATGTATCTTTTCATTCCGCAACTTGAAAAAGTCTACCAGTCTCCCACAATGTACGAACGTTCCATGTACATAAAACGATGGTTGCTCTGGTTTTCAGGAGGGGCATCGGCCTCGTGACATCGGAATGAACTCGGCTTCCATCACGAGACGAAATAATAATTCTTCCAAATCCCGAGGCAAAGCAAGTTAATTTTTGGTCACAATGAGGTCGCCAAATCTACGCCCAACACACGACCTATAATCAGGAATGAAGACGGAAGTAGTATCAAAAGTTCAAAAAGAAGAGTAAGCAAATCGACACGTCAAAGGACGAGTGTATGATTGAATTACCGTAGAATATATATAAGAGTTCAATGACTAAACATATTTGAGGCAATTGAAACCTTAGTGCTAAATGCTCTACTGATCATTCCACAACGGAGTCGCTTTGATTTCAACCAGATCACCGTAGTGATCATCAGTTCCATATCATGTCGAACGAAATATATTCGTCGTACTTTGTGTAAAAGAAAACAATACACCTATTTGCCACAATCTGCTTTCAACAATCTCTGGACTAATACCATCAACATCGCAGTGTCTAACACATGTCCCTGAAAGTAGGTACATGCAAATCTGTAGAAACATTTGTTGTGGTAGCCGTCAGCAACGCATTGCTCACTGTTGAAATGGTGAAAGATTATCAGCTTCGCAATGTGGATGAGCATACATATGATGCATGCATTGATTGCGCAGATATGAAAATCATGTAGGTGAAAGGGAGAGAATAATACTCGGTAGTGTCAAAGTTGATTTTCCCGGGACTCATGGCAGTCGAATTCTATTTTGAATTTTCTCGAACAGCCTTTACCTGATGATGACGTTCTTTTGACAATGTTGCAGTTCTCATTTGTCTTCTATGGTATTTCAAGTATCTTTTGTGAACGGAAACATTATATAACATTGTCATTCGGCGAACTACTAGCACATCGACACGTCAATGTGCAATTCGTAATCAAACCACATTGTCCATCTAGTAGTCTTGTAGACATTTATCAATGGTCATGCTCAAATCACCCGATATGATGTGAAATCGCATGTGGGCAAACGAAAATCACAATAAAATACACAGTAGAAATAGACACTTGGAAATTCTGACAAAAACTCAGGAGTCGATTCAAATGTATTTCAGTGGGGTGAAAATATCAGTAATACAACATCTCATTTTCACGTACTAGTTCCCTGAGTGTGCGCCATTTGTTCAGCTTCACAATAAATCATTGTTATTTTGTGCTTCCTGAACTAATGCCTCAGGTCTCACATGGGTGACACATAATAAACTGGCTTGAAAGCTCATATTTATTCAGGAAATCTCAATGTTGTTAGAAAATTCATTAGGTCTACAAAACCAATACTTTGTTTTGAAATTGTTCTTTGACCCTTTCTACTTCGTACATCAGCATATCAGCTGAATACAAAATTCAAGGTTGTTTTGGCCAAAATGTTAGTTGATGCCAATGTGTATGCAGAACTTGGCATTTGTTTTGAAATTCTTCTGTGACAGTTTCACCTTCGTATATCAGCAGATTAGTGCAATGCTTTGCTCACTGTTGAAATGTTGAAATTTTATAATTTCCTAATTTTTATGATCATAATTATGAGGGCTGCATTGATTGCTTCTATTAAGATTTATGTTCTTTTGTTGAAGAGATATTGCTATGCCGCGTTATTTTTGATATCCTCTGGTGTTTCGGAATTGGAATTATTTTTCTACATTTCGCGAATCCGCTCTACCAAATGACGATTTGCTATGTACATTGTTGCATTTCTCATTTGTCTTTTATGTTATTTCAAATATCTTTTTTGAACTGAATCATTTCATAACATTGTCATTCGCCTAAATTCGTGGACTTCAGCTCCTCACCTATTTTAGTATTTTTTTCCCATTTCTGTTTTGCATTTTTTTTTGTCTATATAAATTTAACGTTTTTTTGATATTTTTTCTATTTCGTGGTTTTAGATTCAGTTATATTCTTGTTTGGCGCTTTAATATCGTTTATGATTTTGTCTGTTATATATTTTATTGTTTTTTCGTTTCAGCCTTCATCTTTTTTTTTCCCTTTACTATCTTGTTTTTTTTCCGTAGATTATTCAAATTATATTGACACTGACCTTCTACAAATCTTCAAGCCTTTGTATATACGAATTCTCGAAACTCAATTCAGCATATGTCATACAGACAAATACGCTAGTCCATATACGAAATCGGATTATTCACTAATAATTCTGTCTCCGCATGATTTCATTTTATTATGTCTTACTAGGTTTCTTGTAAGACACTTATTTAATCCTACTAATCATACTGAATTTAAAATGAAATCTATATCCATTTGACATGGGTATATTATTTTGTTGCTAACTTTTCGTTAAACAGATAAAAGTCAAAGCATTCAAAACTAATATTTTTTTCTGAAGTCATTCTTTTTTGTATGCAGTTAGTAGGATCCTGATAGTTTCAAAATGAACATCTGAACTGAATTCAGATTTAAACCTAATTATCAATTCTGGACTACTCTGATTATACCTACTGCATACAATTGGTAAAGTTATTGGAAACGCAAGTGTCTAGCTCCATTGTATTCGTTATTTGAGTTCTTCAAAGAACTTCATCCTCATCAAAATATTCCACGTTTCATTTGGGATTTTATTTCTGCATGTTATCCAATTCACCGATTTTCTGCATCATTATTGCAAATCGCTGAAAGCAATCAGACATCAACTGGTTCACAGCTGCGAATTGATATATATATATATATACCAGTTAAGTGATCGATTCTTATCAGCGACAGGTAAGTGAAGCTATCAGATTCCGTTTAGTTTCGATTAAATACCTTGATGAAAGGCTAAGAAACTTACCTCTCTTGCCTTCAAATCGAAAACCATCTCATCCAGTTATCTGTGTAAATTAGAGCATTGTCCTTCTCAAAACAGGAAATTTAGCAAATGATTCAATGACTCAGCATCCAGGAATCATACCCTGATACGAAACGGCTAAATATAAGTCTTAGTAATTGTAGAATGTATATTCTACAAACACTCAGCAAGCACAATGCAATCGATCACACAAATCTCGTTTATTTATACATCATATAAACGTTATTAGGACAGTCACAAAAATAGCACATTAAAAAACGCAGCCGCTAATCACAGCCTAGGATTTTCGTGCTGAGAACTGAAATCTGAAGTGTAACTGATCATCTCATGATATCAAACCTGAAATCCAAAATAAGGTGTTTATCAAGAGAATTCTGAGGATCTACCGTCCCAACATGACGAAAAATTCAAATTATAAATATAAAGTTACGTATTGAGAATGACTCTTGTAACGTCACAGATGGAGCATAGTTTTATATTTATTCAAGAAAAATAATACACCGAATTCTCACGTATCATCCAATCACTATTCATCTGTGTCTCTGTAAGCTATATTATGACCACTGTCCATGCACTTAATCTATTTCTTTTATGATCGGCATATTTCATTTGTTTCATTCATATCACAATCAATCCTACAAGTAAAAAAGGAGTTTGTTTGAATAACTCATATTTCAAAACCAGTATTTGCATTGAATATGCAATAAAGCTCCAGCAAATATTAAGTGAAATGTAGCTGTCGTTGAGTTGATTGTACGTGACCTGTACTTGAAACATGCTCGCACTTATTACCTCTGAACGTGATTACAGTGGAGGGTGAAAAGTTTAAAATCGATGTACATAAATATTTGTGAGATGAGACATTATTCGAACGACAAATGCCACCACATATAATGCAATTACAGTTTGAGGTTGTTGAAAATTGAATATAAATTAAAGAAGTGTTACTCAGTAGTCAAATTAGAGTTTTTTCCTGTTTTTAAACAATCGTTTACTGATATTTATTCATATTTCACAATTCACTATTATTTCAATCAAAATCTCAGTGATGTAAGCATTATTTTCATGAACTCGCCAACAAATGAATGACGGTATTTTTAGTTGAAACCTGATAAATGGTAACCGAGTTTTCGTCTTCAAAACGGTTAGATTGGCACAATCAACAGATGCAAAGAAAAGTGACTTATGAATCGGTTATTGAGGTTTTCTATTGTTTGCTCCTGTCAGTTTACTACGGTACTATTTTTTAATTTACTAATAGGACACTGTTGCTCGTAAACTTGAATGAGTCTAAATCGTCTTTCGAAATGTGTTCATGCTTCAGTTATATGAATCTGAACATTTTTGCTGCGGATTCGCGAACATCACACGTATTGTACCAATTATTCTACTACTGAAGAAACAACAATGCCTGTCTCGAGACTGTGTGTCAATTTCACCTTTCACATCGCATTATGACTCTGATTGGTTGAAATTACTCTTCGTTAGGTATAAACATTTTTCATGTATCTATTGGTACTTTTAAATCCATTAGTGTCTACTTATACATATATCTAACCCAATGATTACGTATATAAGAAAAACATGTGAAATGAACCAATCGCTTTCTTGTATGAATTATATAAATCGCGAAAAATCGTGAAGAAGAAGAAGAAGACATAGAATCAGAATGTATTGTACCGTCATATTGAAATTTATCTCTCTTCTTGCATATATCCATGCTGAGGATGGTAAGTCTGAATTCTTCACTCTTATTAAACTTCTACTCGTTACCTTTTAGTTGTAGGTAATTATAAAGGTGATTATAAAGGTAAGCAATTCAATCTAACTATGATTATGCTAGGTGACTGCAGTTTATTTTGAAAATACGAAAGATTATTAGTCCGTTTTTGTTTTTTCACACTATTGTTTTGGTGGGCATTTCCTAACAGTTTTGCAATCCAGCATGTAAATATATTTACTAGCAATTTCAGTACAATAAATTCAGTTGCTTTTATCTACATTTCATTCTTTGAGTAGTTAAAGCAATGAAATTTTGTTGAGCATAAAAAAGATCATTTTCGCATCTTCAGCAATCAGCCTTAAAATTTGATGTCCTTTCACTATTATCTTTGTTGTTCCTTAACAAGCAAACGCATGCTTGTTAGCTGTTATTTGGTAGACTGTTATTGTGATCCTTAAAAGTCTATTCGTATGTTTGTTGTTGTTTGTTCCATAATCTGACTCCAAACTGCAACACAACCGTTTATGAACGCTGAGAATAGAACCGTGCAAATAGTAATTCAACATTCTCTTCAAACGACATTTGTGATTGATACTTTTAATTTTAGCTGCCTATCAAGGTACGTTTATATAATAATAATAATAGTCATTTACCGGTTCTTATGAAATGTATTAGGTCGATGGTTAAAAGACTTATTTAACTGTGCAGTTCTTTGTCTCTATAAATATAAATACTGAAAATTTTCAATTTAAAGTTTTGAGCATTATTATTAATTTACATAAATATATTTTCTTACAAATTTTCAAGCAAAACTCAAAACTGGTAAGTTACGAAATATGGCCGAATATGAAAATAATAATAGATTAATCACAATTCGCAGTATTGTTTCCAGCATTTAAAGGATTGTTTCTGCTTCATCGGATCCTGAGAAAAACATGGGAATAATATTATAAAAGATAGTATATATTGAATAGAACCCGGATAAAAGAACTTCTCCGTTATTGGAATAATCAATAAGATATCATTCGATTTGAATTGCATACGAATGTTTAATATATCAATTCATAATTATTATTTCATAATAAAATTCCCATCAAAAACATGACCATTCAGTTTTCACGTACATTTTACTTGTATGTGAATGAAGAGATACTCCAGAGATGCATAATTTGACTGGTTCAAATCAGTGATTCAAAAAGATGCATTTAGAAGTAGATAACATCTGTTGGCATTTGCCTGCTTGTGTTATTATTCAATATTTCGAAACTTTAACATTTTACCGATTTAAAAAATAATTCAAAATCAGTATTTATTTAAAGTAGTCACAGTTTGACATTCCCCACACACTTACTGCATGTTTTCGAAAATGTTTTATCATCAATACAAGTTAGATGCCATCAGATATTGTGACGAAATCCTAAATCATTTTTTTATTTGTAAATGATCTTTGCCTTGAGATTCATTTCCGATTTCAAGCCATGATTATATTAATTTTTTGAAGAGGTGGAAGAAAGGGGTAAGTGTTCAAAGTGTACTCTACGATGATTCATGTTTCAGTTCGTATATATTCACATCCGCGAAATATTTGTTCCATCAGTCGCTGCGAGTTAGACAAGCATAGTTACGCTCGTTGATTGTAACTGTGATTGCACAGTTCACGTGACTGAATAGAAGACGAAAGCAATTGCAGACAATAATTGTTAAGACCTCCACATAATATATGATAGATAGTGAAAATTCAATTTTCTTGAGCACTGAGGCATTTCGTCTACCGCATACACTCTGCTTTGAGTCTGTGTAAATAGACCATTCCGACAGTTTGCGCATAGACAAATGTCAATCCGCCTTTCCAAAGTCATAGCAGTACAGCAGTACCAAATATCTTTCGATGCATTTGTTCTCGAAATTACGATACTGCTTATCATACCACACATGGCCACCATGATCCTTTCACACATGATAAAACGTTGACACGCAATAATTTGCAGGCTTTATCAAAACATATATTTACATATATATATATATATACATATAGTTACACATTGCTTGAGCCTTCATTCGTGATCAGCCCTTCCTACGTCCATTCACCATGCCGTGAGACAAATATTGTCATGACAATATCTCATCATATGTATGCGGAACCTGCCATTATCATGCAATGAATTCGGACACTAGGGTTTCAACAATCGCGATATTTTTTAAGATCTTTCATTCTGGTATCACATCAACTATAACTGGATGCCGAATCACTTTTCATTAGAAATTCATCTCCTTGCATCAAAGGGAAACAAATCTAATCTTGCAATATTTAGGCTTTTATTAACTTGAGTAATGAATTGATTCCATAACAATGGACGCAATATATTTTGAAATGCAATCAATGCTTATCCAATTTCTTACATTATTTGCATATTTGAATAAGGATTAACCAAATCAAGTAAGTAATCAGTCAATATCTCGATGACAGACATTACTACATTATACCATGATCATTGTACAGCTTCAATAGTCACGTTTCATAAAACAAATTATTCACACAAAATGTCCTCAGTTCAGCTACATTTCATTGATTGAATTGAAAATGCTTTCTAAAAGTTTGTCAAAAGAATCAATCGATAGAACAAATGAATCTTTTTCAACTTGTATTCATGATGAGTGGTTCTCTAAGGCAAATTATGGAACTTTCATGTTTGTACAGATATTTGATTTTCGAAATTCTGCATCTTAGTCTTCGTGTTTGGTTTCTTTTCACTAAACGTAGTATTTTATGCCCGATTGATCGGTTGGGCTGGTTAGTTTTCATTTCTTAGTATTTTTTTATTGCGTGAATTAAAATCATTTTCGCCAATACATTGTACATTGAATGTGTTGTATTGTAGTACGACTTGTCTCTAGGAATGACATTATGTAGTTAGTATATGTCATTTTGTGTAAGGTGAAAAATTCTCATGTATTCACGTCGTAGGTTATTTGATTTTATACTATATATGTCATCATAATATTTTACGTAGGTGATTTCGATCTTATCGAACTTTCAACCTGTTGACAGATTGCAGTTAATAACCGTATCAAAACCATTTTCTAATTTTCATTATACAGGCAACGTAGATACTTTATTAAATATAACTATAGAAGACGAAAAAAGTATAGGGGACGAAAAAAGTAAGGAAATTGTGAAAAGATGAAACTTTTTTTTAACTGTCACAAACACATCTAGCTCTATGAGAACAACACATGTTTCTCAGAGTACTTGAAACACTGAATATAGCAAACAATTTACAATTTGCAAATTGTCTTATCATACAGACTTATTTCATTTGAATACAAACGTTTGCTAATAATTAGTCATAACCGACACCATGCACTGATAGTAGACAGACAACGATCATATACAAACATTCACTGCACAGCTGTTTCCCGGTTGTCTAAACATATCTCTTTGCTGATGATCAAAGATGATGATTGATATTTTTAGCCACGAGGTCTCGCGTTAAAAAGGTTTTAGTGTGCATTGGTCATATCACCATCTTCATTAACTGATATGAATGGTACATAACTTTCAAATGAAAATATTGATTTGTCTATAAAATCGCTAAATAAAATAAGCCTAATCGAACATTGATTGTGTATCTGTATCTTTCAGGAAACCTCTCAAAGAATCTTTCGAATAGAGAAATACTAACGTTATATAATTGTATGCTAAAATTTACGACATATAGTTAACCAAAATCATATAATTGCTTTCAGATTACGACTGTAAATTTCAAAAGGACTATCGTTCATCTTACCTACGTTATCTTGAAGGTCTGAACGAATATTTAAAAAAACTGTTACATAACAAACATATTTTTTTACAAACGAAACAGTACAATAGGTTACTTTTGTATGAACGTTCACAGCGTTCCAGATAATCAAAAATGGTAGTTTCCTGAAAGTATTTTCATCCGAATCAAGAGTCAGTCATTGTTGAAGGGTATTGGCAAAGTAGTGTGGTTGACATGATCGAGTCAAATAATTTTCGATCGAATTCTTATTACATATCTTATTTCGTCTCGTTATTAAGATCATCCGAGACAAAAAACAATTACTGATTCTATCAAAATTCTTCTGAGTCTGGAAGATACGTCGAGATTTGAACCAATTCAACAATGAATGTTTTAGTGATTAGTAATCTTACTTGTCATACTTTTCTGAAGTAAACGTTTTGCATGAACAAACAAAAGACGTTGATTAGTTTGCATTATTGTTACCCTACAAAGTAATGAGATGTAGTATTATTTGAACAATAATAAGTTATGAATGTGATCGTTTATTCCCTTCAAAATCATTTATTTATATTTGAATTACATCTTGTTCCGAAACCAATTCAAATATTTACCTAATAATTTCAGAAACTAAACGCTTTCTCAATGAGACGATGACAAAACGATGTATGAATTTTTGAAGAAATAATTTTTATTTGCAAACATAATCTTATGTACGTCTTTTTTCGATGCAAAATTGATTTTACCTGAAATTCGATCGTCTAACTAACTTTTTCTCTCTTTACATTTCATCTTCTATTCAGTATCTCATTATGCATTTTTCAAAGAATGCCACATGAAACAAATAGAAATTTTCGAAAGTCAGTAAACATATACGTCGTGTGTAGATAATGTTTGTTGTTAAATGTTTACTTGCATTTGCACTCAATCTTTACTTCCCACGGATTCCTGCTTGTTCATTTAATCGAAAGAAAAAAATATATTATATCGAAAACTGAAATTTGCGTAACCGAAATTTGAATTCTAACTTTTACTCATTTAAGTTAAACAAGCAATGATATCAGCAGACACATATACAAACTTCGAAAAAGTAATGTATGTTTCAAATTACATTATTAACTTTCAAGATGAAATGCAGAATGAATGATGTGTGCAAAAAAAGATAGGAGAAATATGAGTATTTTTAAAATGTATTGCTTTACGTCTAGTAACACGTGGCAACTAAATGAAAACATACCGATACCTAAAAAATGTTTTGATCTGCTTTACAATCAGCCACTTCAGTTATAACTCTATTATGAATGTATTATGACACAAGGATATTTCAGAGCCTACAATGCAAATATTGACATTACTAAATGTAGCTATATAACCATTCGGACAATAAACCTCTTTTCGACTATTTCCGACTTTTACTAAATGACTTTATTTTTGACAAACATGGAAAAATCTTGCGAACGTCATTCATGAATGGTCGCAAACGTTGTCCGTGCTTATCGGCAGCATTGTTCATTTGGTTGTTACTAGGCTTAACTTATATCACAAACCAAAATATATTTCGGAATATTTCATGTGGATTTCGCAATTGCTGAAACCCTTGTTAAACAATTAACTCGAGTGAGTTAATTAATTTAGCTGATGTTAACGAAAAACAAGTTTTATTGCGAAATTACCACTTATAATGGCAATATTATCCACGTGAACCTTCTTTATTCACACAGATTTTCGTAAATTGTTAGATAAACATGGGAAACTGTAAAAAGTGGTATTGACTAAGTGGACTGAAACTTTTAGATTTAGTTCGATTATTTGATAGGGTAGATGTTTTTAAATTGAACATTCATAGTAAATCAACTAAATGAGATTGCTTAGTTCGCCGAATGATAGTTTGATTATATTTCAATGTTTTCACATGTTCATTTATTGATCTTTCAAGTCAGCATGCAAGTTCAGCGAGTGTGTCAAACCAATGAAATAAGTTTTTTTGAAATTTATTTTTCAGGTGAGGAAACAAATAGTAATGACCTGAACTGTGAGCAGTTTTGGACTTTGAAAGGAAAAGGTAATTGGAACATGTGAAACATTTATACCTACCATATTGTCCTCCTACGGAAGGAAACCATCCGTTTTCATATATCATAGTATCACGAATTACCAGTTTCCTAATAGGTTGCGTTCTCCTTATCTTATCTTTTTCTCATACTAGATAAAAGTAAACTGGATAAATTAATTCTAGGCATAACCTACACTTCAAGCGAGATAAACATAAAATTATGTAAGTTCAAATCAAACAACAATATATAATTCAATGTTAAGGAGTATTCACAAACACATTTCGGAGTTTTCTTGCATCGTCAAAATATCTGTGGAATTATTGTCATTTAGAGGGATTTTTTTGAATATAGGATAACATCGTTTACTAGGCACGTTCAGACGATGAATATCTTTGAGATGATTGAATCCGTCTGTTAATGGAGAGATGATAATTTAAATATATGAACTAGACATCAAAAACCTTTCTCTTTCATTTCAGTTCTCAACGAGTTTTTTGCACAAAATGTTGAAGGAACAATCCGTCTCATAAACAGATACCACGGTAATTTGGATAATTGTTTTTATATTTTTCTGCTTTCAGTCACTAACACAGATAATACTGTTCGAGTTAAAATCTCATGTTGTTATATAATACAATGAGCCGTAACATTTTATTAAGTGACTTATTTTATATATTCTTTTTTGCAACCGAGCGGATAACGGAATGCATGCATATTTTTCTTTTGTTTTCAGACGGTTTTTCAAAACCGCTGCAAAGGCAATAACAATCAATAATCATTTCATAAACTGGAGAATTTCAATTGACAAAAAGTGCCTTCTTTAATAACAATTAAAAAATAATTACGTTTTCAAATACACAGGTTTTACAATATTTTCCCTTTTAACGAAGTCAACACTATTCGAACTTGAAAGTCAAAATCAAACTTTAATTAAAGAGCTGTTTTTTGATTGCCTATCCCGCTTAAGTTAGTCGAAATCACCATAACACAAGGTGCGAATAATCATAAGAAAGGCTATAATAGCCATAATTGCAGGAATCGTCGAAATCAAAAAGTGAGATCGTAAAAAAATACAAATAATGTCGTTTCGTTAATGATGGAACAGTATAAATGCAAGTGAAAAATTGTGGAATTTTAGACAACACGGTAAGCGAAGCGCAGAAACCGTCTGCATGATTTTGATCAAAAGTGTTTGAATCTAAAACGTCTGTAGGCACGGTGGGTGAATCGATACAAATCGGTATCAGGCTTTGTTAGCGTACTTCTTTGTTGACAAAAGTAACTCGTCGATTTAGAGACTGATTACACAGACATCACATATATATCAACATATCCGTGTAATTAACATTTGTTTTATTGGAAACCCTAGTTTCAAAATTTTCAAAAGATCTGTAAAATAAGTCACTGCTATTTACTCAATAGCAGTATTGCTTAGAGACATGCTTTTTGAAAACTAGCTATGCAGTCAATCCAACAAATAGTTCTTGCAAGTTTAAAACTTGCATCAACTATTGTTAGAAAGTATGCTTCATTATTTCATAAATATTTGTCTTTGTGATAGTGTAGCGATTGTAAAGCAAACACTCAATACAGATCCAATAAATCATGTGGTCTCGAATAAAAGTAGGATGAACGAAATATTCATATTCCAATACAGAGTACACAGCTTAAAGATTGAATAACAATCTGTGAGTGTTTGATTCGATTGCGGTAAATTTTGTTATCATAGAAGTGTTACTTCATTAGTTGTAAGTTCTTCATATCCAAATAATTTGAAGTGGTTCAACTAGTTTAGGATGACGGCAAATATATAACAAAACGCACCGTATACACGAAAATGAAAAGAGACAACGCTTAATATAAAAAATAGGACTAGAAAAATTCAAAAAAAATGTTTCCATATTTAAGTTGAAAACTGCTACAGCTGCTACTTATTTCGTGGATCGTTAATTCATTTCTTCTTCGTTCTTAAAACGAATAAAATGCGTGACCTTTTGTCGGCATAGTATATCTTCAATATCATAACTGAACATCAGTATGTCGTGATAAACTATACACATCAGTGGGATGTTGTATTATTTGATGTTCGTGCTTTGGAGAGTTGTTGAGGAAGTTAGATCCCCAGAACTTGCTCAATAAATGCTTAATTAGTGAATTTATGTGTGCGAGCATGGGCGAATCAGTTGATCATCAGACTTCATTTCCCGCCACCAAATTTTTGTGACTGTCACAATAAGGTTTCTATGATTTATAAATAAACGAGAGTTGTAATTGATTGCACTGTGCTTGCTCAGTGTTTGTAGAATATACATTCTACGCATATCAAGACTTCACTTCAGCCATTTCGGATCAGTGTAGCTTTTCTGGATGCTGGTTCATTGTCTTATCAGCGTTTATCGACTAATTTCTACCAGTAATATACGCTAGCCTACCTTGTGACGAACCTATCAACGATGTATTGTGTATCGACTATCTATTTCTACTTAGATCATTCTGTGTCGAGAACGCATGCCGGAGGATTGATGTGAATGTAAACAGTCATTTCAAAATGTAAAGACTCGCGAAATGCATTATGAGCATAGTTGTGTGAGGTGAACATGAGATGAATTTGATGAACTTTTTTGAAATAATATTCACTTTCGTTGTTCAATAGCGATTTATGTGATTTCACATACACCAGCAGAATTTCCAAAACTGAAATATTATTGAACCGTTATTCGGTAGGTCAAACTATTTCTTTGATTGATATTTCGCCACCTTAGGCTTTACCTTCGTTTTTTCAGTACAATATAATTGACAGTTCTAGATATAATACAGGCGCCTTAAGAGTTACATAATTTTCACGTACATCAAGAATCTCACTTGAACTAACTTTTTCATGCCCTCTTACGACCACTTATGCCTAAAATCATTATCACAATAATTATCTATATTTTAGTGTGAACCATGACGCAAGAAAACATCATCAGGAACTTGATTTATAATGGGAGATTCGTTATTCTGTTTGTGTCCTTAATTGTCAACAAGACTTGAGCTTGATTGCCTTTGACGATCGTTTGGCATCCCCAAAAGCGATAATAGAAACGTTGGTCAGACAACATCAATCTATTGGTATTTTCGGACTGAATAATAACTGTTAAATTTGCCTAGATAAGCGCCTTGACTGGTTTAAATTCAAAAGAATAGATTCACCTAAATAAACGTTTTACTAATTATCATACATATAAATTTACATCATTGCCTAAAACAATATTACTAGTTGGTTGTCCCAGTAACTATTGTTCAGTTAATCGAATTAACAACAGAAATAGGATAGATCAAATTGATTCAAAAGATAGTATTTGGTTGCTTTATAACATAAAGTGTTTACTTTCTAAAACTGATGATTCAATTCACTTCAAAATATAAAAGTTCAGTCGATGAAACCGGCAAAATCAGAAGACGAACAAATCATTCTGACTGCGCAATGAAAACGTATCAGTATATTAACCATAAATATAGTTCAAAAAGAATTATAGACACTCAGTGATAACAAAAGCGACCGAAACCATAATGACATACACAAATTATTATCTTTGTATAGAGTCGAACAGATGAAGATAATGTAAAACCGAACGAATCAGTTGGAAAACAATAACCAATTCATACACTTTGGCGAGCAAGTCACGAAACCAGACTGACTATGCACACCACTTAATATTCCATACTATCCCGCCATTATCAAAATCAAAATAGATCCATGGTTGAATATTTTACATTGTGAGTAGGGCATTTAGAAAAATGGAAGCAACACGAGAAATACGTCGCACGGAAGAAGTGGAAGGATTTTTTTACAGTCAAACGAAACGAGTACAATAATATTTATTTTTCATAAATCGTTCTTCCTTCGTAGAAGCGTTACAATACAACATGGTGAGTTTTTTTCCAATTAAAGAAATCAAAATGATGCGCCTTTACTTCAAACTTCTTCATTTATTTTTCAGAATATGTGAAATTACGAAGATACATCGTCAAGAAAATGATCTAAAGAGGGGTACAATCAAAACAAAAGTGCATACAATGACAGGTTTAAGATCAACAGCAACAAATGAAGAACGAAGTTGGCAGAACTGAAATAGATACGAACCTGTTAAGATCTACTCAATTTGAAGAGAACAATCGGATAAAGATCAAGGATGCTATCATTATATCATATCAAGTATAGATGGATTTTCTGTAATAGGAATTCACGCCGTTTCCAATAGGTATAGGTTGGTACTCGAAGTCCCAGAACCAAAACACAATAATTTTGAGAAGAAACGTTCTTTATTTAATATAAAACGGAAACACAGACAATCACTCAACTATTATTAGACCTACCAAATCCGATTTACCCTAGTGAGTATCCGTTTCTGGAAGAATAAGTGCTTCCAGTCTGAATCGCTAGGGTATCAAATCCAAAATAGCTGTAGCCATAATGAATATCAAATTTGAACAACATATGTACAGTTCAGACTTACTTATTTTACTAACGCCTATTACCCCAATGGAGCATGAGCCGCCCACCAGTTTCTCCAACCAAATCTGTCCTGGGCTTCCCTCTCCATTTCTGTCCAATGTTTGTTCATTCCTCTCATATCTTTCTCTATTTCTCGACATGATGTGCTCCTTGGCCTTCCTCTTTTCCTTTTGCCTTGAGAGTTCCATGTGAGGGCTTGTCTAGTGACGCAGTTATGTGCTTTTCGTAGTGTGTGTCCTATCCACTTCCACCGCTTCTTCCTGATTTCCTCATCCACTGGAATCCGGTTTGTTGTCTCCCACAGTTCGTTGTTGCTGATGGTGTGTGGCCAACGAATACGAAGTATTTTGCATAGACAGCTGTTAATAAATACTTGTTTCCTCTGGATGATGGCTTTGGTAGTTCTCCATGTTTCCGCTCCATACATTAGAACTGTCTTGACATTTGTATTGAAAATCCTTATTTTGGTGTTGATTGATATCTGTTTGGAGTTCCAGATATTTTTCAACTGTAGAAATGCAGCCCTCGCTTTTTAATCCGCGCCATTACATCTGCATCGGATCCACCTTGATTGTCGATGATGCTGCCTAGATACGTGAAAATGGTGACGTCCTCCAAGACATCTCCATCAAGAGTGATTTGGTTGGTGCAACCAACTCTGTTCTGGGCTTCCTTCTCCAGTTCTCTACAATGTTTGTTAAGTTCCTTCATTTCTTTCTCTATATCTGGTCTCAGTTTGTTCCTTTGGCCTTTTCCTTTGGCCTTGAGGGTTTAATGTGACGGCTTGTCTCTTGACGCAGTTCGGTGCTTTCAGCAATGTGTGACTTAACCACTTCCACCGCTTCTTCCTGATTTCGTCCTTCAGTGAAATCTGGTTATGCGTAGACAACTGGTAATAAACACTTGTATCTTCTGGTTGATGCTTTCCTACTTATCCAAGTTTCCGCTCCATATCAGAGAACTGTCTTGACATTTGTATTTAAAATCCTGATTTTGTTTTTAGGTGAAAGTTGGTTGGAGTTCCAGTTTTTCTTTTCAAACGTAGAAATGCAGCCCTTGCTTTGCCAATCCGCGCCCTCACGTGTGCACCGGATCCACCTTGATTGTCGATGATGCTGCTCAGATATGTAAGAGTGTTAGAGATTTGGATAATGCATGTTGTGCTGCATTGCGGAATTTCGTTTTTTACCTTATGTATGTTGAGACCTACTGCTGCAGAGACTGCTGCTACACCGCTCATCCTCTGCATTTGTTGTTGCGTCTGCGA